GTAGCAAAAGTGGCTTTATTATAATGGTGAATGTGCCAGTGGTCGGACAGCTTAGAGCTTAGACAAAAGTGGAATACAAAGTGCATTCACGAATTTTGTGTTCAACACAACCAATGCATTTGGAGGTGATCACATACGGAGTGATTCATAAGTCGTGACAAAAAATGAAAAATCATACACAGGACCGCTTTTTAAAGGGGTCTTCTATGTAACATGTTTTGTTCAAGGGCTTCATTGGAATATACGGGGTGTTAAAATTTAAAAATAAACAATTTTTTTTAATATCTTCAAAACCGGCAACTGGAATAAACTAAAATTTGGTAGGTATGTGGATTTACCTTACTATTGTCCACATTCAAAAGTCTTAAAATTAAAGTGCACCAGTGGCGGGATAAGGGGATTACTTGCATTATTTTTCCAAATAAAAATAGTACGCCACTGTTTTTTTTCTAAGACTTCGACAATATGGAACTGCCAAAATTCCCGGAGTTGGAGGCCATGGTCTCCGGCACACTATTCAAGAGGAGATGGAAATGATTAATTTGCCGTTGGATGATCCCCGTACAAGTACTAGGCGGATTGCAGCCCAGTTACCAGGTTCTCAAAGTCTTGCGTGTAGAATTTTAAATCGGGAAGTTTTACATCCTTACCATCGCCAAAATGTGCAATGTCTGCAACCCGGCGACGATGTACAACCGCGAAATTTTTATGAGTGGTTCCTGCATATGCATAATCAAAATGCAGATTCTATTGATTTGGTTTTGTGGTCGGATGAATAGCTTTTTACGAGGAGTAAGAATCCACAGACTTTCTAGAAATGTCTGGTGCGGCATTTTCAATGACCAACTGCTTATGCTCGTATTGCCACAACGTTTAAATGTAAACTCCTACTTAGCTTTTCAAGAGAATTACATAGAAAATGTGTTAGGTGTTGTTCCGTTAGCAACGAGAGTACGAATGTGGTATAAGCACGTCGGTGCCCCACCGCATGCTCGTCTTGAGGTCGTGACATAATCGCATGATTAAATAATCATTTTAGACAACGATGGATTAGCAGAAACGGACCCTTATATTGGCATGTGAGGTCTCTTGATTTGAACCCCCGGATTTCTTTTTGTGGGATGCTTTTAAAAAACTAGTGTATGCTGAACAAATTAGTACTGTTGATCAGTTACAAGAAAGAATAGATAATGCGTTTCATCAAATTCAAGCCACTACAAATTTTGCGGAAATACGTTTGTCTTTATTAAAAAGATGCCGCAGAATGGTGTTTGATTATCTGATTTGTTTTTTTTGTTTTTACGAAAACAATGCACTCTAAGAAAAAACACGTAATTATTTGTAGCAAATTGAAATTGAAATTCGAAAAATTGCGGGTTGCGCAAAAAAAAACCGTGGTGTACTATTTTTATTTGGAAAAATGTAGCCACTTATCCCCTGTATCTCGGCCACTAGCGCAAGTTAATTTTAAGTAAACACTTTTGAAATGTGGACAATACTTAGGTAAATCCACATACCTAATATTACTTCATTCCATTTGACGGTTTTGAGGATATTAAAAAAATAGACTTCAACATCCCGTATCTTTTTAATGAAGCCCTCGAGCAAAAAATGTTACATAAAAGACCCTCCTTAAAATGCGGTCCTGTGTATGATTTTAATTTTTGCTCACGACTTGTGAATCACCCTGTATGCCGTTAAGATTCCGTCGACAACAAACACATTGCTTATAAATAGATATTTCTGTAATTTTATAAAATAATATTAATCAAAAAGGTACTATTTTGCCAGTACTCGGTCAGAAGGTGCTACTAAGTATAGTCGGCCGCCTAGTTTCCAACTTTGTGGAACAATCTACAAGAGGAAGCTTTTCCCAGTTCTACCAACCTTGGGCAGTTCAAAAATCGGATTAAATTGTCGGACAGCATTTGTTTAGCCATCAGTTTTAGACAGAACCGAATTTAAATATTTGTGATTGTAGAATAGTCATTAAGACCTTGAGGAAAAGAAATTAAACAAACGTATACTGAGCCCATTAATATAAATATATTTATCAAACTAGGTAAAAATGAACAAAAAACTAATTTTTACCTTTAATCCGGTCCTGAACGGTCGATTTTATTTCAAGCAATTTCACAACATTTCTCACAGCTTTGACTGTTCCCTTTAGCCTGCCTTTACTATATATACAGAATTTATTTCTTTAAAAAAATTAACCACGTTATAAAATGTTGGGGTTACCTTCACGTCAAAATCGAAAAAAAGGAAGCAACTTGTCATGACTATCAGTAGAGAGTACTATTAAATTTCTATGGTTCACTTTAGTGGTCATAAAAAACTCTTATTCGTTCGTCCGCATTTGTCATTTGCAGTCGCTGACAAATCTACCTACTGGTACTGCTGTAGGAAGTCATGAAAGTAAGTGACCAGCCACAGAACACAAAGATGATGCGTGTGCTTTGTTGGAAGAGGGAAATATTTTAACCGTGGATATGGGCCACTGAGGGGACTATTGATAACGAATGGTTGATATGTCTTTAGCCTCCTACAACATGCTTTTTATCGGTTTTAGCCATTACTCATAGCTTCGCATCAGAACTTTAGAACCACACCCCCTATTATAGATTTTTTTTTGAAAATTGGTACCCATGCTCGGGCTCGAATGCGATACCAAATGAAAAAGAAATGCAGGTTCCAACTCAATAAAAAATACAAATCTGTTATATTCGAAAACAGCACCCTTTGGAATTTACGAATGTATTTTTTCACTACTACATTTTCCCACTACATAAATAATGATATTTAAAAAAATCCTAGGGTTATAACGAATGTGTGCATTCACGTAGAGCTCCTTTTGCATGTTACGCACAGAATTATCACTGTTTCCTTTATCCATTTATTGAATACTTTAAATGTTTTATCAGGAAATTATTCTTGTTGATTGCATTTGATCTCATTATTTTGACAGCTTGGATGTCCTATGCTGCTTAATAAATTGGAGTACTTGAACGGGAAACGAATGATGTGTCGGCGAATGTAACATCTTCTCTTTGTCGGACTCGTCATATAGTTTTATCATAGTACCTACTGCAAAAATTGCACTGGCACATTATATCCCTTGGCGCTACTTACCTGACATAAGACCGCAGAGTAGAATGAGTGTCAATAACTAAGAGTTCTATTGACTTAAAATAAATGAAATTATGGACAGGTATCCGAGTTAGTTTTCCTACGTTCTAGCATCTTTTCTGTTTTCTAGCCAAGGATGTTATAGAATTGTTATAATTTTTTTTTTTTAATAATCGGCACTGACTTTTTTACGCTCTGGTATCATTACATCTTGGTGCGTCGTCGACGATCTCGATAACTCTGGACTGGGGCACCATCAGCGTGTGCTGAACTAGGAGCAGACCCTCCGCAGGTAAAGGGTATCGTGTGTCGGGGTAGCTGATATTGCCGGAGTCACAGACCTAGATATTATGCGAATTATGTGTGAAATTGTATCTAACAGACGGGTAGTACTACCAGGATATCAAATTTCTAGTTCATAAAACATCGTTCACTGATACGAAAGATGCAACATTTGCCTCTTTGTACTACATTCAACCCGAACACCCAATTATCAATCCCAATAAAAATTCTTATGAAAATGATCAGGAACCGCTAAAACGTCAAAAAACAAAGTTTGAGCGGTTATTATTCGTTTTTTATTCGTGCTGAGCCCCTAGCATTTTTGTCTTTGGGACAGTAGTTTCTCAAGTTTTGTCAATGTGACAGCAGTTTCCTATTGTGAAGGTATGTTTTCTTTTTAAATTGTAGGAAATTACACGCTGATAAAACATGATATAACTCAAAAGCAAGCACAATTTAATGCAAATAGATGTTTATGACATAACCTCAAAATAGAGTTCTGACACGGAGAAGCAGAAAACTATGACAATCCAGGAGCCCATAAAGGCGCCCTACAATTGTGGGACGACTGACGATACGGGCCTAAATGTTCCGCACGGGTATTACATATCTTGAAAAGTGACATTATGTCGATTTTTTTTGACATTGTATTAGTGTTTTGCGACATTATGTAGGTTTTTCTACAAGATGTTAACTTATCATTAGCTGATGGACACGTTGTGAACTCGTTTTGTGGTTGTACGTGTTGCCTAAACGTCACGAGGCATCAGTTATCAATGTTTGATTCTGATGTGATGTAAAATCTACTTCAGAGATGGCACAACTAGAGGTCTAAGCTGTAAGTTGTATGCTATAGCTAGAGGAAACGGCAAAGCATAGGTGCTTAGTGAGGATTTGTGTGCTAATAATATGTGTTGATGATTTCATTGGATTCTTGTCTCAAATACACTTACTTGATATTCAAAGCTAGAAATTAGTTGCGCATCCACTTTTTCTTATCCATTCTGGAAATTACATAAGCAAATTTGCTGAATTTAAAAAATGAGAAAGATAAGAAATAATTATATTCACTGCCGAATTACAAGTCATACACAGTAATTACACACAACGCGGGCGCGGAGCTGATTTCCCTCAAAGTTTTTGAAAACACAAAAAACCTAAAAAATCGTATTTCATAACTTTGAACATAAGCTGTCTTCAGAAAGGACAGCATATAAATAGCCCTTCGGGCGCAGCTAATAGATATACACTTCATTGGGAGCATATTCAGTAATGATTTTCTCACAGCAAACATCACTGATTTTATACACATGCAGACCTATACACATAATCATCCAGATGCGATCTTGCTATTCAAACAACTTTCTTCTCAGAGACTACTCGGCTTCACAAAACGTATGCAACCAACAATGCGTGTAGTTGAGCCATTCCTTCATAGATGGACGCTCACAGCGAGTGAGCAAACGTGGAGTGACAGTTTGCACCCTAAAAACTACCTAGTCTGCAAGATGACATTTTATAGGTTTGTTTTACGTTTTATAGGTTTTTTACATAATACCCGTGCCAAACTTTTGAAGCTATTTCACGGCTACAGATCATCTTGTGTTGGCTGAACGCGCTCAATGTTCAGGATACACTTTTCTTCTCTTGTTGGAGAACGAGTTTTGATTATTTTCTCAATGGGTCAGGAAAATCAGAAAATTTTGCTTGTATATATTTTATTTTTGAATAAACCGTTCCTTTAATGTTTCCTAACGCATGTCTAAAGTTCCAGAACTAAGCTTCTCCACAGTCTTTCACCAGATAAGCCCAATTGCAGGACTCAATCGTCGTGTCAAAAAGCGTCCCATCTTGACAAATGAATTTGTATGCTCCGAGAGGAGCACCATCAGCGGGACAATAATAAAACACTCGACAGTCATCAGGATCTCTGATAAAGCCGCTTCTTGAACACAATTCAGGCGAGGTTGTTGGTGAAGCATGCGTAATGGACGTTGGTGAATTCTCTGTTGGTTCGCTTGAAGTATATGGTGAGTCAGTTGGAGTGGCTGGAGATGACATAGTAGAGGTTGTCGGTGGTATTGTGGGGTTGAAGCCATCATCCTGGAAAAAGTAATGGAAGGGAAGATAGCGTCAAGTAAGTTAATTTTGAAGTGTCTTACTGGTACGTAGTATTACCGGTACCAGAAATTTCTTAAGAAAACGTCTTTGGAACCATTCAAGTTTTAGTATCAAAATATTAACGTAACCATGCGAGAGGGGGTGGTAAGGTATTTGCTCACTTTTTGGGACAAGGGGAATTGTAAAAAGTCTGCTTACGTAATACTTGAACGGTCCATATCACTGATAATAAAGATGAAACATTTACAAAACCGTCCAGCTACAACCTCGGATACCCAATTTTCAACCCCTGAAGAACCTTTCTAAAATGAGCAGAAATTCCAGAAACGCCAAAAAACTAAGTTTGAGTATATAAATAGTCTAATACCTACCGCCATTTGATAAGCTGCCCTCAAAAGAGGATATTTTATTCCAGATAGACCACTGAAGTCATCTGATTCGACTGACCATACCATTACTCCACCAAGTTGTTCATCTTTAGCGTACTTCACCTATGACAGATTATGCCAGAATATATTTCTTTTTTATATATAACATTTTCTCTACTAATAATACGCTATATACAGGGTGGCGCATCGGAAACAAAACAGACGCATTTACTGGCAGCTCAGTTTTTTTTAAAAAACGCTCAGACCCGTCGATTTTGTTTTCGAGGGGGACACAAGTTGGGCAAAAAATCACGTTAGCACGTGCAGCCTCCTAAGCGGGGGTGACACCACCCCCAAAATCATAAATGGAAAGGGGGGTCGAGTGATACCTTATTTTAAAGGTCTTTCAATTCCCTTTATAATGATATAATGATATGCAATTAATGTACTTCAGTTCAGTAGTTTTGAAGATTTATTGATTTAAAGCTTAAATAAAACTAATACATCATCATTAGTGGAGAGCAATACATTTGGCAGCAAAGTAATTTAAAAATGAAGAATGAAGTGACCCGTTAGGCAAGTAAATGTTGAAAATGGCCACCATGACTCTCCATGCAATAATAAAGATTTGGCTAAGAACGTTGCCGCACATTTTGCAATATTTGAGGAGTAATTTGAATGCACTCGTTCACAAATCTTTGTCGCAGGTCTTCTAATGATGTTGGCTGAGTAGCATAGATTTTGCTTTTTAAATGGCCCCACATAAAGCAATCCAAAGGTGATAAATCTGGCGATCTTGGGGGCCATTCAATGGCACCTCTTCTATCAATCCATCGATCTGGAAACGTCTGATCTAAATATTGTCGAACACGTAATGCGTAATGTGGTCAATTATAGCTGTTGATGCAGGATCTATGGCGTCTTCCAGTAATTCCAAATACATTTCACCGGTCAAATTTCCAGGTAAGAAAAAAGGACCAACTAAATGATCGCCAAAAATACCAGCCCAAGCATTTAATTTTTGTGGCTGCTGTGTATGAACCTTATGATAAATTCTGAGATTAGAATCGGGTCAATATCGGCAGTTATGACGATGTACTACGCCATTTACGAAAAAGGAACATTCGTCGGAAAAACAAATGTTGAATAGAAAATGTTCATCGTTTATAATTCGTTCACTCATATCTTCACAAAATTGTAATCGCCGATAAAAATCGTCTTCATTAAGTTTTTGTACCAGGTGAATTTTATACGGATGAAAACTATGGGCCTTTAGAATCCGTTGGACAGTACGTCGACTAACACCACACACAGTCGCCAATTTGCGGGTACTTATAGGATCTACATAAACTTGCCCCCCTTCTATTGCTTCGTTCCTTATGGGATTTTCAATGTTGCGTTGTTTATTGGCCACTGACCCAGTTTCCCGAAATTTAGCTACGAGTTCTAGAACATATTTTCGATGCACGTTACTGTTCTCATGTTGCTCATTAAATATTTCTGCTGTTCTATTAGCGCACTGATTATTTCCGAAAAATATTTCGATAATTTCAACTCTTTCTGCTGTGGAATATACGATGGTTAATTTATGTAATAAAGCGTTACAAGTTATTTTAGCAACAAAGTTTGGTCAAATCAATCGCAAACTATGTACTAAATTCCTATTTAAAATAAGTATGAGATATTTCCTTATCTTTCTTCAAGAAATTACTACTACTAATTTTCAACAACAAAATTTTTAAAAAACCATGGGCGTAGTGAAGAAAAGCATTTACGTATTAAGTAAATTCTTATAGTCAAATTTCTTCTGAAAGTAGTACAAACTAATCTGATGTACCTATTAAAGTCTACTTTAAGCTTTAAATCACTAAATCTTCAAAACTACTGAACTGAAGCTCATGTATTTTACATCATTATACAGAGAATTGAAATACCTTTAAAATAAGGTATCACTCGACTCATTTAAGGTTTTAGGGTTGGTGTCACCCCCGCCCAGAGGGCTGCACGTGTTAACGTGATTTTTTGTCAAACTTGTGTTCCCCTCGAAAACAAAATCAACGGGTCTGAGCGTTTTTTAAAAAAAACTGTGCTGCCAGTAAATGCGTCTGTTTCGTTTTCGATGCGCCACCCTGTATAATTTGAGCAGCTTTAGACTTAGGTACCTTCTTTGCTATAGAGTTCGCATCATCGAAGCCTATCCACTGGTTACTTTTGTAGATATGAGGTACTTCCTGTTCTGAATCCCATCTGTATGTCCATTCATTCGTTGTGAGGTGCTCTACGATCTGGAGGGTATAAACAAAAGTTTATTCCACCGTGATAATAAATATGAAATAGTTTATTAAAATATTAATTTTCCTTGAAATTAGCTTTACCACGGCAACATTATTTTAAAACTCCTCCAAAAAATTCTCTTCACCACACAAGAGGGTCCATTACACGAAGCTGTTGGATACAGTTGATAACTTTGGTCGGAATGCCATCAGACGCAAAATCCATGAATTTTTTTATAGGCAGACAAAGTTTTACAGGAGGTTAATACTAATGAAGAATTACTTACTTACAAAAGGACCACATTCTATAGTTTACTCAAAGAACATTGTTTTGAATATATAAAACGGGGTAGTAATAGTATTTTGATAGACAGCCAAGAAATTATTTTATGGAGAAGAAACTATTTAAAATCAATAAAGAAATACCGCGACCAGGGCTGGAAGATTTATTACTTGAATGAAACCTGGATAAATGCATGACATACAAAACCTAAAGTTTAGGCTAACTCTACAATTAAATCAGCAAGACAAGCCTTTTCAGATGGACTAACCACTGGCCCAAAGAATCCGTCAGTTACGTGTATCTAACCAATTCGTCATTTGTGTTGTAAAAATGGCGTCAAGTAGACTGAATCTATGAGCCCACGCTGAAAACTTAGCTACACTAAACTTAGCTATATCTGGTAGATTTGGAACCATCACCTGTTAGATACTCTGCTTGTATTATTATTAGTTTTCTTGAATTATATGAAAAAATTATTTCCAGGAAAAGGAAAATAATTTTTTATATGTCAAATTGGCAGTGAAGAAACTGAGGCAAAAGTGATAACATAGCCACAAAGTTATTTCCGCTGGTGTAATGGTGTTATAAAGGATTGCGAATATTGTTGTATGAATTTGATTTTCCCGACACTAGCCGTTTTTTGTAGAACAACGAAATGCTCAAAAAACCTCTTTTTCGCTGAAACGGCTGAGGATATCTGGGATTTTTTTACACGTAAATTTTTCTAATTTTTGGGTCATCAAAGTTTTTGCTAAAATGCGTAGTTTTTGCGCTACAGCTTGCTGATAGTTTGCTGGTGAGGGGATTACTGATACTGGTATTTTTCTACTTTACAGCAGTTTCTAAAGTACTGGCTGGCAGTTTGTAAATGATGCAAATATAAACGTGGAGTTGAAGTTTGAGCTGTCCATACGTGCTATGACATGCGGTGGAGAAATATCTAACAGAGAAAACACGCGTTTTCCAAAATGAACAGAAACAAGTCCAATGGTTTGACAATGAGTTACGTGGCATGCGCGATCGCTTAAATTTCTTGATAGAATTGCACAAAATCGAATCATCAACTGTAACCAAATCCGAAATAAATTGCCTGAAATCCAAGTACAGAGCTGAAATAGTCAAACGTTAGCAAGATGCTCACGATGTGTATATAAACTCATCGAATAATAAAGAACAAGCGATGTGGAGTATTATAAAAACTAATGCAGCTCCTGACGATAAAAAAATTACCACAACACTAAACGCTAACGAGTTTAATTCATTTTTCACCACCGTTGTAAATAACCTTTTAGAAAGCTTACCGTCACATGGCACTTCACCACTAAGCTATATGGATAATCATAGCAGAAAAAAACAATTTTCTTTAGGGTTTTTACTTCACTTTTTTTATAAGAAAGCTTACCTTGCAAGTGCTAAATCCCAGTTTGTGGGCCTCTCTATGAGTTGTGGACCTCGAAATTCTCCTTCCAATAGCGTTACTCCACAGAGCTCTTAATTGTAAATAATTGGCACGCCTGTTTTTCACGATTATTCTTCTTAATGCTCTTCGGTCGGCATTTGTGATATTACTTTTTTTACATATCGTGGATTAATATTAACTGAACCAGTTACGCTATAACTTCTAACAATATTTCTCGCACTGTACCGCGATAAGACTAACAAAGTTACAATTTCTGAGTTTGATTTCCCAGAATTAAAAGGTTTAATTATCAGTAACCTATTTTTTTCACTAATAACCTTTCCTCTACCCATTTTGAAAATCTTAACTACCCAAAACTATTTTAAACTTATTCTGACAGCTGTGATTAATAAAAACAATTGTCATGGCTTTTATTTTTCACAGCCACCTATGCGTTATAGACTTATTTTGCATTGAAATGAAAAGCGGTTGAGATGCTGTAATTGCAACATGTGTTATTTTTATGCTGCAAATTTGATTAGGGAGTGATAAAGTTGGTGTTTTCTACTATATATTATCAAAATATTCATTGTTAATATTTTAAACCTATAACACCCCGCTAAATTTTTATTATTTTTGTTTGATAAGAAAAAAAATAAGATTTCAATAGTTGGGCCAACTGAAGTGGGAAGGGGCTCGTATATGCCGACGTTGGCGGCATCCGTAGCCCAACTCACCTTGAAGTATATGGAACAATTCAACGCATCACAGATTGGCAATAAAACTACATTTTTCGACATTTTCTGCAATACTGGTTAAAAATGGAAAGAGATACAGCAACAACCTTAATTGCAATGAATTAAGCACGTTTTTCTAACCTATTTTTAAGGAATTAGTTTAATTGTATTTCTTAGTGTGTAGATTTGTGAATGTAGATGTCACTGACAAAAATGGAAACTCGAAAATTTGACTGTTATGGTCATTCACAAGATTCTCTGAATAGCAGGGAAAAACTGAAGTTCTGTGAAATATCTTGTTTAAGTTGAAAGCTCTTTCTCCAAAGTAAGTAATACAAATAAGAACTTTCTATATTCAATTACGATACAAGCTAGTTATCGGCGAAAAGCCTGTATGTCACAGACTGATCCGATTATTTTTTTTACCTGAATTGTGGTTATATCATTCGAAGATATCAGGAAAACAAAAAGTTGCAGATATTTTGAGTATTTGTAACTGGTTGGGTGGTGATAGTTAAAACAAAAAGAAGTGTGAGTGTTTCTGGGAGTCGCGCGAAATGTTACAGGTAATTTAATACTCTGCACCCGTTGTAGCCATTTTTGTTGCACAAATCATACCTTATCAACCTTGTACTCAAAAGCGGAAGTATGTGCTTGATTGCAAATACCCTTTTTATGTAACATAGAGAGTACAATAAGGAGATGGTATAGTTATTGTGTGTGAATATATCATGTCTTGAAAAGATTTGAAAATTAGTGCATTTAAGTAAAGTTAATTAAATGCTCTCAATAGAACGTAAAATTGATTAAATCTATGTTTGATTGTGATGTCTAAACAGCCTGGATCGAGTTTATCATATTACCGCAAAAGGGTCAATCGGTGTCATTTACAGAAAGATGCATACGCACCTAATAGCTGTATTACTGTAGTGTTTCTAATTATCTACAGAATGCAAGCCAGAAAACCATCGCGCAAGTATTTGGCTTCAACTGTGTCTCACGGTTAATCAAATACTCAAACTAGGGGTGTTTGCACAAATTATTTCAATCCTGACCGATTTACTCAAAAAGTTTGCACAACCAATCAAACAGCCCCATAGACGGTCTAACTGTTTGCATAACCACCGAGTTTGCGCAAATTGTTCGCACGTGTATGGAATGCTTTATATGTATGTAGTTGGTTCAAAAAAATCTGTGTTCACCGTGTATGGTACGATTTGTGCAAACTTTTGGCCAGTCGACTCCTGCTCCTCAGGCAGTTTCCTCTCTATACCGTGGTTGAAAACGAAGTTGCGGTAATTCCAGATCTTCAAAGGAGGCACCGCCTACAAGGTATCTCAAAGTGCCCAACAAACTCAGTCCTGGAAATATTGCATCCCTCATGACCGTGTTGTTTTTCACTATGAGGGGTGCTACCATTTCCAGCAGCTTGCTGAACGAAGCTGCGTCCATTCGAAGAGTTTTTATAGTTCGCAGCTGACGTTATTTTGAACTCGCGCGGTCATGACTAAATTCGCTCCTCTTCTGGAGCCAACTCTTCACCCACATTCTTTGCTTTCTTTTTCTTTTAACGCTCCGTTTCTTAGTCACCAGGTCCAGAATAATGGCGGCACAGCAACTGTCCGTTCATGTTCAACAAACTACACCACAAAACGATATGATGTTTGCGCAACAGGTTGCTACGTGTATGTGCTAGCATTTGTAAAAACACCGAGTTTGCGCAAATTATTCCCACACGTATGGGGGGCTTTAGTCCGAGATATTAGATTACAGCTAGTTATAACACTAACAGTAGTATCCAAAAAGTTTGCGCTAGATTTGAAAATGTCACTTTATGACGGTGTTGGAGCAAAAACTGTTGACGTAACGAAAAACTTTCTTTAACATTAATTGCTGCTTGTAACACGTAGGATTTGGATCCGAAATTGGAAGAATCAGATACACTCCGTTTCAGAGATATAATACTAAATGCATGTTTAGTTCCACGGACTGTCATACAAATTCAAGGCTATATAAAACATCATATCTCATAATAATGTCAATTGATGGATTATAAGGAAAATATGTACTTGAATGAATGAATCTTGAAATCAGAGGCATTCGGGCCCCATAAAGAGCCAGTGCATAGGCCTTAGATCACAAGCCTCGCCCTTTTAGCGAAGTTGAGAATCGCCTTGAGTCCAAGCTTCTCGACGTCCTGAGGGTCCAAAGTAATGGTCTGCCTATAGTAGCTCAGAGTTTCACAGCTACACAAAACGTGTGCCGAAGTCTCTTCCTCTACCCCGCAGCGTTCGCACAAGGGATCCTCAGCCAGCCCCATCACGTGCAGGTGGCGTCTTAACGTGTTATGGCTAGACAACAGTCCCACCAGCAACATTAGGTTGGCTCTATCCAGAAATAGGCAGAAACGTCCATCCTTAGCACTGGGCCCTTCAATGAGTTCCCGTGCCTGGCGGAGATGTCTGGAGATACTTCTCCATTTCTGAGAGTGTTGTCTTGCAGAACACGTCTCTATTTTCCTCCTAGCTCTATGCGCGGTCACTCCTAGAGCTGGCTCAGGACCAACGAACTTGCTGGCTGATCCTGAATTCGCTAGAGTGTCCGCCATCTCATTGCCCCTTATCCTAGCATGCCCCGGTACCCACATTAACGATACCGGATGCCTCGCTGCGAGGCAATAAAGAGCCTCCCTGCATTGCAATACAAGACTCGACACAATAAACTTGCGGTTGAAGCGATATTTAGGGGTAATACGATCACCCCTGCTTAGGAGGACGGGATCCTCCCTTTGCAATTCGACTAAGATGGCAGTATGTCCCTTGACAGGATTCAAGAAAGCCCAGCTGCTCTGTCTCCACAGTCGATGAGCGACTACTCTCGCTTTACCGCGGATCACCAGATCCAACGGTGGGAAATCCAACAGAGCTTCCATTGCACTCGTTGTTCGCACTGCGCTGAGCCAGTATACCACTTTGAGTTTAAGCCCCCACCTTACACCAACAACACGTCTACAGGCCCACATTGAAGTGCGAGTCTTGCTAACCTTGTATTCGACATGCTCTCTCCACTTCAGTTTGCAATCCGGGATAATTCCCAGATATTTTACTGATTGGGATAGAATTAATCTAGTCACAAAGAAGGTCGGCATGACCAGCCCGTCAAGCCTTCTTCTCCTAGTGAATAGGATCAGCTCGGTCTTTTCAGCATTAACAGAAAGATCGACTTCTCTGCACCACGATTACACAGCGTGAAGAGCGCACTGCATAATTTCCGAGACTGTTCTACAAAAACGTCCCCTAACTACTATGCTTAAGTCATCAGCATAGGCTTGCACGTAGACAATCACACTGCTGAGAAATATGGACTACAAGACCTATCAATTTTCTAATAGAGCACCCTATGTAAAATGTTACATCTGATTTGCAGAATGTGTTGCGTATGAAAACAGCTACTCAGTCCATGTAGAATAAAATACTCAAACAAATAATCATGTACGGTAAGCTTCAACTGACTACAAGGTTGACATTACCGAGGAATTGCTCTATGGCAGCCAAAATTTTAACGTCCGTTGCCACTGGTCGTTACCTTAGGGAGCTGCCATATATTTCAATGCGTTAGTTTGGCTACGGATGCTAGAAACGTCACCATGACATCCCGGTGAGGAAGGTCTTTTAGTTTCACTGCTCTGCTTCTTTAATGAAGGCCTATGATTGATTATAGTTTAATGTCTTGTTGATCCTGATCTTACCTCATAATATGTTAACATGCCGCTTTCTCCACTGTATCGTCCTGGAAGTCCAGGAGCAGAAATCGGTGCCCCTAAACCGTTATTCTGTGCATCACTCAAAGTAAAACTCCTGCCATAAAATGCTAGACCTAGGTTTAGTTTACTTCGACTTGCTCCTCTGGATAACCAAGCTTCTGCACAGGATACCTTAAATAGTGTACAGAAAAATATCAACCCCCAAAATTCGAAAATTTGCCTCCCTGGGTGACTATTTCTTTTATATATCGGTAAAAATCAATCTTAAATCCAGGTGTCAATTGCGGTTTCCACAGAAAGTTATGTGCAATGTAACCATATCAAATATAAGCAATAATGTCCGTCTCTAAATTATAATGTGAAATAAAATAAATATATTTTTACTTACCAAGTTTAGTTCCTTAGAATCAGCGGTATTATCTAGATTAGAAGGATACAGAGGTGCATTATGACCAGTTACCTTATCCCAAGATCCGTGAAGGTCGTAACTCATCACATTTATCATATCCAGATACCTATGGGTAAAGGTAGAGACAGAAGAAGCTTTTAATATTTTAATGGCATTTGTGGTATTTTATTTAGCGTAGGAAGCAAATTTTATACAAATAGACAAATAAAAGCTATATGGTCAAACTGAAACTTAATCAATATAAATCAAATCCAAGCGAATAACCAAAATTTCTGTGTTATGTACCGCGCTTATAGTATGGTTTAAAATGACACACGGTTTGATGACGTCAGTTACTCGAGTCGCTTGAACGCGTTGCTTTTAACCGCGGTTTTGTTGCAAGTTGTTTATTTTAGAAAAGTGCGCATAAAATTTCTGGTTATTTTTATTATCACTTAATAATCGGTGCTTTTTGTTTACAACAGTGTATGGAAAGTTTAAAAAAAGAAACCTTCCATAACATTATTGGCAGAAATGTTTATTTGTCAGAAAAAAATGTTTAATGATGGAACCATAGCTTTGTAGCTATGATAATTTTCAATTCTCTAAACTATTCCGCATGTTGAAGAGAACATTAATTTATTGATTTAGCAGATATGGTAGGAAAACGCGATGAAAAAAGATATTAGCAAAACTGTATACATGTGGACATTATCCAGTGAGTTTATATGACCTTATATTTTAATATTCTTGTGGTATATGGCTACACAGGATACTTTTTTAATCATAGGAACTAGATTTAAGGTATGCCCAACAACAGTAATGAGTATAACTAATAAAGTGCTCTACTTTATGCTACAACTGAAATCAGCATTTATCAAGTTTCCAAAAAATGAAGCTGAAGTACAACAAAAATATCCAATACCCGCCATAACTTGTCACATTTCAAATAATAACCAGAAATATAAAACTACTCAGGAGTTGGGTAAATACCACAGTTTTACGGTGATAACTATATGACATATAACAGCTGACTCATGAAGTCACGGATCTTATAACAAACTAATAACCACACTCGCTTGAACGGATCAGTAAATACCAATCCAAAATGGTAAATACTATTTTCATTTGGTTATTCGCTTGAATTTGATTATAGTAACTATAAAGAGATGTCAAATTTTGTTATCGACAATCTGTAATCGGTTCAGGAGTCCCGTGAAGGAAGTCATTCGGGTTTCCATCATATCCCCTCAAGATACACTTAGTTGTAATGTGGTTTGGTTACTAGCCCACAGTCACACTGTGGAATTTCACCCCATTTGTGGAGGACGTCGACATATCTACCAGACTTTTGTAGTATTTGAATGGTCGGTATTTTGAAACCCATTCAGAATACAATTAGCTAGTATTCGAATACTATTAGAATACGTTTGTGGGTTTGGTATTCAACTAAATACTTTCTGGCTTCACAATACCGCGTCTGAATCCCAATATTCGAATGCCCACTATCTATTCAATTTTTTTTTATACACCAACTACCACGAAGGCCTATGGCCTAAACACCTATGGGGTACCGTGGGGCTGTAGGAGGATAAAGCGGAAAAGGGGGAATGCCACACGGACTATGGCGAGGGAACACGTGTGCATGCAACATGCACACATTCAGGCCCCGCCTACGGGTGGTACCTCCGCGTTCGACAGTCAGAGACCGTCTACCACCTACGAACAATCACAACATCAATAGCCAAGAGAAAAATTTCTCTTGGGACCTCAGTGTGATACTGTGAATCAAAATATTATTTCAAGTTTTATTTAATATAATCATTATTGTTTTTGTCTATTTTTTTATAGCTTAAGTTTTGTTTTAATTCGAATATTCAAACAGTATTAACATTTAAAGGAATCCAGGTATCAGAATACTACATATTTTTGTTTGTATTCGAATCTTGGGTATCCGAACACAATTTTAAATACAGTATTCAGGATTCGTATTCCTATATCGGATTTCAGTATTCGTCCCAAGTCTGACATACCATTTTGGATTTGATGACATCGTTTGTGAGAGAGTGTTCTAGTCATGCCTGCTCCTCTGTTTATTAAATCAAAGCCATAAAAGGTTTTGTAGAACTAAATCTGTTAATGTCTAGATCAGCAATATTTTCGCATAACTGATTTTGGAGAACTTCAATGTACTCCTTTAATAAAACTTTGGATTGACGCATTTATTGGTGGTATTATAACAAACGACCAAATATTCACGATGCATCCTTTTCCTTACTTCCAGAATTAATTGGGTATCTTGTTGCGACAGTTGAGGGTTGAAAGGGAGAGGGGGTAGAGTTTATCCCTAACCACCGGCCAAGTACCACACTAACACGCCTAATGGCAACGAAAGCGACCTGTACACGAGCTTTCATACCGAGCGTACGTATACGATAGAAAGTGTGGAGTTGTCAGCTTTCTTGTTATATATTTCAAAAACTCATAATTCTTTCAGCTCTAAAGTGAGTTCATATAGCCGTCTCACTAAAGATTTCTGAAAAAAGTTTACTTTATGTAATGAATTGATGTGGAAAACACCAATACGACGCGACGGAAACCTTGAACTTACCAAATTTTTAACCAAGGTATCCAAAAATGGGTAGTCTCAAAGTAAGGTTTTAAAGTACCTAAAGTTCCATTCAAGTTTTTAGACATTTTTATAAACGTGTTTTGAATAAACAATTACATGTTTGAACAAGATCTATTCAGATTTTGTTCAAATTATACAGAAACGTGTAAGTTGTTTCTAATCACCATGGTCACATTAATATACTTACTGTGATAATGCAGTGACATTATAGGAAGTATCTATAGTTTCACCTGTAGCAGATACAGCAGCAGATAGTAGAAGTCCATGTTCTTCGAAAGCAGACTTCAATTCTTTAATCAGAGTCACATAGTTTACCTAGAACAATATTGTGAGATCAAGTCATTTTTAAAGTTGTCCCACCTGAACCACGCCAAAATAGTAGTATTAAAAAAGTCATATTAGTAAGCATATTAAACATTGCGCCTAACATCTCGCGTACACCACTGGCAGACTGCAATGCGATACCTTATACAGGGTGTTTACTAATTATATGTCAATATATAAGGGAGCGATGTTGGGTTAATTTTAAGAAGAAAGCTTGATATGAACGTTTGTCCTAAACTTTTGAGAAAAAGGGTGGTGAATTTATACAAAATAAATGATTTATTATTAATATCTGTAAACCCACCATAGATATTTTAATGACATAATGACATACATGTACTATGTACCACGAAGCATTTTTAATCCACTTTATTTTTTTAATTTCAAACACAATGTCTTTTTGACAGATATTGATGGAACCCCACTGATTTCTCATAAAATAAAAATTATTCCTGAAATCCCCAATTATTTCTAAGCAAATTTGATTGCTTGATCTTACTAAATCTGATACATGGTATTTCCTTCACAAAATAAAAACAGGTTCTCTGCATGATCATAACTGTTAGAGATATGTCTATACCTCATTCTTCATTTATCGCTCTTAATAATAAAAGAGTTACTATTTTAGCTGATCTCTGCAGCAGCCGCAAATTAGATCTATCTGGTACCCCTCAAGTGTACCCCCGCTTATTTTACATCTTTTACAACCTTTGCTGCACCCTGCTGGTTCAACATTAGCGCTCCTATATCACCGCTACCACAGAAATTTGGAGCAGGAATTGAGCAAGAATAAAGGAGCAAAAGTAGGCTACAACACGCGTTAATATGATATTAGCATGCAGATAAATATTTTTTTAAGTGAAAACCATACGACGGGTTAAAAAAATTCAACGCGCATAACCTCCTCCTCCCGATCACCAACTACTTATAATTAATTGTCTGTTCTCGAATTAGCGTTACGCTTGTCAATTTCTATTCTTTTCGCTTCTTTTGCCTCCATTTCCGCTGCCACTAAATCGATTTTCAAAAACTACAAAGCTGTTCCATTCTTGGCATAGTATTAACCTTGTGTTAAAATTTCATCAAAATCCTAGTTTCAAAATTTTTCGCCATTACAATACTTCCCCGCCAGTGGCGTAGGAAGTAAAAAGGTTAAGTGGCATAGAAGAACTCAAACTGTAAAAGTCAGCAAAACCATTTATAGGGCAAACAGTGGCTACGGGAAATGTAAATTACTCCTTCGCCATTGGGCTTACCACAGATGCCCAACTATGGACTGCTGTTTCGTGCTATTTGGCAACTCTTCAGCCTGATGTAGCCTTAGTCTCAGTCAACAACGAACGAAAGCTGAGCAACTTTACTCTGTCCAAAGTATAAGGTCTATCGAAATAAGCTAGCAGAAAGTGCCAGCTGCTGCTAGAATCGACTACTGCGAAAGTCAAAACAGCAAGCTGCTGGAACTCTATGACATTGTCAGCCGGGTCACCACTGTGGCCGCAAGATGCCATCAATGATGGTCTTATAGTTGGTACGGTCTACTCGCCATTGAACAAACTAGTGATATAGCTCTCATTCATCAGACCACAGACAGCCAACCATGGACAGGCGTTTCGTGCTGTTTGGCAACTGAGGGATTGGCCTCGGTGAAGCTGTCCGTGATTGGACGAATGAGAGCTACATTACTAGTTTGTTCAATGACGAGTAGGCCGCATCCACTATAGGACCAGAATCGGCGACATCTTGCGGCCGCAGTGGTGACTCGGTTGACAATGCGAATTGTCATACAGGTCCAACTGACAGCTTGCTCCCTTGGTGTATTCACTTTCGCAATTGTCGATTGGCAACAGATCGCACTTTGTGCTGTCTTATTTGGATAAGTCACAAAATGTTCCAAATTTGAACCCCCAGATTGCCAAAAAATTATGCTGGTCTAGCTTCTACATAATTTCTATTAGAACGTTGTAATTTCTGTGGAAGTGTCACTTGCACAATCCCCGTAAACGTACAATGAAAAAATGTACGCACAGCATTATAAGCACTACAGATAGTAGATTTTTCTTAATTTGGAGTTTTTAGAATCGAAAGCAGTATCTGAATCCTGACAGAAAAGCTGGTATAGAACCATCGAGTTGGGATTCAGGGATGGAGGCCATCTGAGTCGATAAAATCGATTCTACACTTTATAGCGCTGATTAACACAGATAGTACGTCTTGCAATCGAGGAAGTCAAAAGGAATCGTAAACGAATCAAATGAAGATCGGAATACCTTGTCGGTAGGAGAACCACCTCTTCTTGCAGGGTACTCCCAATCAAGATCAAAACCGTCAAAGCCTTGATCCAGGACAAATTTTAGAGCGCTTTGTACAAAAGTGTTTCTTAGTGATGGTGAAGCAGCTACAGCGGAATATTTCTGGGATCCTTCATTCCATCCACCTATCGCTACCAATGTTTTCAGAGAAGGATTTACTTCTTTCATGGCGTTGAATCGTTTTATATTCCCTGAAATTAACTTCAACTATATTTTGTTTCAATTGATTGTGTCATAATATTACTCCATAATCTTGGAGCAGCGACTAAGACCATGTGTGCCGTTATATGTCTTCTAAGTTTGAATGTGGAGCATTTTTAGGCACCTAATAGGAGTATATAAAAAACAGGTCACGCCATCCAAACCGTGGTCGTTTGGCCATATTTAAACATCGGCGCCAGATTGTGCAATTGTAGCTCAACATATCTCCATAATACATTCTCATCTAAACTTAATTTTATATTTTTTGAGTAAACCAATATTTTTTTAGATCTATGCTTAAAGAGACATTTCGCGATTTGGTTGCCATTTTTAAATATGCTTACGATTCGGATCTTGACCTTTTTTATATTCCTACTCCTGTATATATTTTATTAACTTCCGGAAGAATTCAAGGTACACGTCAGTAGGTACACCCGCAACCATACCGTAGTGTCAAGTCTTTTATAGTTAACGTTTCCGTTTTTGAAAGATTCGGAAGGCTTAGCTGGATAACATTAGCAAAAATCACCCTTAGAATCAATAAATGCGATACTTTTAACCGTTCGAAATGTCTTTAGCTCTAAAAATAGACCGAAAGTAGTATTATTTAAATTAGAAAAAAAAGTGTAACCGAATGTATGTTTGCCTTAAAAAAGGAGTAAACTGATACTCAATACATTTAAATCTGTCCACTTGTTACGAAGCCATGTTGAATGACCGTTGTACAACTTATCGCCGTTTTTTATGTACTCCTATTGGTGCCAAATAATGTCCCGCAAAGTATCAAACAAATAATGCCAAATACCTCTTTTTTTGTCTAAGCTAAATGACGGAAGCTACTGGAAAAATCGGATAAAGCAGTGATTAAATTACAATAAAATGTAACTGCTAATTGCTTCCGGTTTTTTAAATGGTCAAAGATGACCAAAAACAGTGTTCTTATTTAAAAAAAAATGATATATGAGAAAAATTTTAAACTTTTTACAGACCTACTGATACCATGTTAACGTTTATGAATGGATTAATAAAAAATGTATTTCACAAAAATCGTTAAACATGGGTCGCTTTCGATTTAATTCAAAAACAGATTTCAATGAAACTCTGTAATGCTCTCTGTGGGTCCTTTCAAAGTTTAAAATGTACATAATTTTAGAAAAAAGTAGATATCTTTTGTGAAAAGCTCAGTTTGACAGGTAAGAGGAAACCTGTTTTTCGCCATCTTCTCTACGAGAGAATTTGTCACAGCTATGTCCCTTTCTCTCCGCGATAAGTAGAAGTCGAATTTGATAAGATTATCGTCCCATACAAAGCGCTGTCGCAATCCATGTGCTCAAATGCCATTTAAAAGACACTAAGGCCAATTTTTACTAAACCGATTGCGAAAAAGCGCGTGGGTCACAAATTAAACCACTGAAAATGCGTGTTTGAAGTAATAGATGTAATGAATATGGTCGATTTCTTGTAAAATGTCTCCCAAACTAAATAATAATTATTCCGTTTGTTTCCCATATTAAATCAAGAAATACGTTACAAATCACTTGGTTTAGCTACAAAAGCCTGTTTTCAATTATATTAGGTATTTGCATTTGCGCCATACTCGAAGCATGAACACAAATCTGATACAATATCTAGAATGATATATGACAGCAATATGAGTATTATTTGAAAATAACAGTGTCTCACTGTTGCTGTACAAAATTCTACTTGATAAAGTCTTTAAGGACATAAATAAAAGCACAGCATTCTTATTATTTAACAATCATCGAATAAATATTCAATTTACCAATTTACTTGACTACCATGCAAAAAACCTGTTCCTTAAGCCTCTGTTAACAGGGACCTCTTGCGTCCCCTACAGGGCAGTAGCACTTTTAGCTTTGCTACCGACACGTAATCGTCGTAGCGTCCAGTAGAGTGCGCGACATCTGCCTGTTAACAGCAACAGGGCTGGCTTGAGGAACAGGGTTTTTCGCACGATAGTCAAGTGACTTGTTAATAATAATAATAATAATAATAATAATAATAATAATAATAATAATAATAATAATAATAATGCGTTTATTGCCCAACCCAACTAGTTAGTTTGAGCTCTTTTGCACAGAAAAGTCCTGTATTGTCTAGATGCTATTCTAGGAACCAGAATATCTACCTAACCTAACAATACAGGACAATCTACTTTTCCATGGAAAAGCTTGTGCAAGAAAAGTACAGATTACTGATATCTACGGCTCTCCAAAGACTGATAATCAAATCTATGTAGCAGCTCAGGATAACTACAGCCTCTTGGTGGATACACACCATCGATTCTAAAAGCTATGAATTTCAAAATTTTCTTTTGTGCTTTTTCAATAGCAACGATATATTGGCTATATGTAGGACTCCATATGAGTGAGCCATATTCCAGTTTAGATCTTACTAGACTGAAATACAGACACGATAATGCTGAAGTGTCATTGAAATTCTTGCAATTCCTAACAATAAAACCGTATGTGCGACAAGCACTCAGCGCTGTTTGGTTTACATGAAAATTAAATTTCAACTGACTATCAAAATAGACACCTAAATCTCTAATACAATCGGTTCTTGCTAGTGTCGAATTCTCAATAGTATACCGATAAGGTATGTTAAAGAATAAGCATTCTGTAATTTTATTTATGCCTTTATTAAGCAGTATTTTTAACAGCAACAGTGTGACACTGTTATTTTAACAAAATGCTCAGTAATGGTGCCATGCCATGTCAATCTATTGTATCAGGTTCGATGCATGTTTCGAGTCGGCCTCAAATTCTTATTTTTGATTGGTGGACTTTGGGTCAACTTTTGTGTCCGGACACAAATGAAAAATAAGTTTTTGTAGCTGAATCATGTGATATATGAAGTATTTTATGATTTAATATGAGAATTAGGAGCTCATCTAAACCAAGTCGTATTATTTTTCTATAGTTTGAGAGACATTTTAGAAGAAATCGACCAAGTTCATTAGATCCATTACTTCAAATATGCTTTATATGCTCCACGGCTTGGTGAAATCGAGCCTTAGTGTCTTATAAATGGCATACCAGCATTGGCTACAGCGCCATCTATGGGACACTAACCTTTTCAAAGTTGACTTCTAATTATCGCGGAGAGAAGGCTGTAACAATTTCTTATAGATGACGCGATAGTATCTCATTTCATCTCGAATAATTTTCTGGATGTCGAAGTACAGTATCAGGTTTGGCTATCTTGAGATAGAATTCGATAATTAACAATGTGAATCAGGATATTTCTATCATATTTTTCCATATACCTTCAAGTATAGCACCTAAAGACATAATTAGATCAGACTATATGTACTTTTTCTACACTGTCGCCATATAGAAACTGATTTTGTAATAAGCAACATCAGTTTTTTATATCTTACCAAGATCAAAGTCCAAATATGGATCCATTACTTTGACGGTTCCATCAGGATTGAGTCCGATGAAGCAGTAGATGGCATGCGTGCATAACGTTGGATCTATATCAGACGCAGTGAATTTACCAATGCCGTTTCGATATGTCGACCATGATCCATAGTAGCATACCACTCTTCCTGAAAAATATACAGTATTTTAACACAATGTTGTTACCAAAAAACAAGGCAGATTCAGTACGAGAACATATGGAGAAAAGTACGTATGAACGTAAATGCGAAAATGCATCATTGAAACTTGTGGGTAGTTCACCTTACATTTCACGAAAACAAATTAAGATGTTGGAAATGACAAAATTAGTTTCTAAAGCACTTATGTACATGTGTGGGGTTCATGACGGCCAAATCTCTATGTTTATAAGAGAAACAGTGCACCATTGGTGTTTGAAAAAACTGGTATCTATATCTTAAAGCAAGATTGATTCTACTCAAAAACTGGCTGTTGAGTTTCTCCTTCAAATAAAATAAATAAAACGTCAATCTGCATATTTTACTGAATGATAGTAGTGACATCACTACAAACCATGTCCCTCATTTCCGTTGGTCTGTCTTTCTGTTTGTCCGCTTATTGTTGGACTGGCACGGCTATTATGTAAAAAACCTAAAACACGTCAAAAAACAACGAAATGTCATCTTGCAGACTAGGTAGCTTTTAATGTGCAAATAGTTCATTCCACGTTTGCTTGCCATGATCGCTGTTAGCTGATGTTTAAGCAACACGTACATATACAAAACGAGTTCGCAACAAGTGTACAAGCGTACGTGCTAAGTTAACACCTTATAGAAAAACCTACGTCATGTCACAAAACGTCAAAAAAAACGACGAAATATCACTTTTCAAGATGTAATACCTGTGCCGTTCGGGTTTTGATGAGCGGCGCTGAAGCTGGGGGAAAAAACGAAAGAAGAATAAAAATCAAGGCGGCCAGTATGCCTCTAATTTCATAATTCAGTCATTCAAGGCGTCCAAATATCATGCACTATTCAAATCCGATTATTTCAGAAAATTTTAAGCTAACAATTCAATTTCTTGTCATTCTGTTACATCACCAGCTGTAAGGGTTTCCAATTCAAGAACGCTGGAATGTTGACTCAAATGCTATACATGCTGTATATAATATACTTGACGCCATTATTTTAACGAACATAACGAAAAACTCCAAGAAATAGTTTTCAAGTAGAAGCAAGGCTTTGAGAAAACATAAGGAGGTAAGGAATTTCCGAACCATGTGTATCGGCCTTTTCATATTTTTGTTCCTGTAATGGCCTGTATAGGCGGTGCACTTAAATTAGTTATGTTCCAATGAAGAATTGCTAACGAACTAAATCTACATTTATGCCTCAAAGAGTAGACAAAAGCATATTTGTTACTAAAAGTAATCTAAGTACCTAATATTTTTACCCGACTGCCTCAGAAGGTGGGGTATGTTTTGCGCGCGTGAGTCAAACGGTTTGATGTATTTTGACATATAAAGTGTAGTTGGATTTCATAAAAACAAAATGGCGGAATTTAATCATATAAAATAAAGAATACATTTTTAAAAACAAGCTTTTATTTAGCTGTTGATAAAATAACCTAAGAATATGAAAACAGTTTTTTCCAATTCGAAATACTTGAAAGATAATGAAGCTCTTTCATCTCAAGTTTTCAAAGAAAAACCTGTTACACCCTTTTCCGATACTACTGTCAAAATATGAAATAATATTTTTAATTCTTTATTAACAGCTAAATAATTTTTTACCTTTTAGTATTTATGATGTCAAATAAGTGGTTTGGTAATTTCTATTTTTTCACGAGTATCCATTACGGTAAAATAACAGCTGATTATTTAGTAGTATTTAAGAATTCCCCATATCGACAAATGACACATAAATCTAACGGATCCGTCAAGGCTAAGTAGACAGAGATTGTTTTGTTTTTTTGTACGCTATAGATTCATTTTGTACTTGCTAACAACTGTTTTATTCAGAAAAGTTGATCTGCGTAAAAAGCGCTACCTGTAAGGTTTACTAGTTTTATTAATAGGACCTCATAAGACCTCTTACTTTATCTCCAGGTATTATAAAATATCGATAGATGTAAATCCTATAACGATAAATCGATATTTTGTGGGGATCGCCATATGGAATTGAGGGTGACCTTATTTGCTTATTGTGTCTCTCTCGTTAAACCCTTTCATTTGTTACCTATATATCTATTGCCCGACCGAACTTTCGGTTTCGGCTACTCCGGTCTCAAATTAATGTTTCGGTACAGTTTAGTAGTAGTTTAATTTATTCAGACCAAAGGTCAGATTTGCTAGAGAAAAGTGTTGAAAAATTGTTATTCATGATATATAATATCAGACTGTTGCACCAATATGGAATTTGATTTTTATAAGCCTACAGATATCTAGGGAATTTTTTATGTAATTAAGATGGTAGATAACTCACAAGTCATTGGGGAATTCCAGTTCACGCTCAAAATTTCACACAATATTCAAAACTGTACAAACTGAAGTTCTTTAAAAATGCCGTAATTACTAATCTCTTGGAGATAGTTTTTCTTATTGGTCGGGCACTACCTATATCATAGCGGTGACCATGGAATGAATCAATCGCAATGTGACGGTCGCCATATTGTACTTAGATGACATACTCATAGTATAGGGCTGACTATGGAAATTCTAAATCGCCAGTCCGCCGCGAGTGTCATATTGGATTTAGCATAGTGGCACTTATTATGCTTCCGTCATCAAGCTATTGCATTTAATACCCATAGTATAGAAAACGGAAATTATTGTCCCACACATACGAACATACTAAGAAACAGGTCAAAAAATATTAATAAAAGTTTGTAATAGTAAAAAAACCCTTGAATTTCTGATTCTGACATTCTGACATTTGATTCGTCTTTTGATAGCATAATCAAAAATTCAATATTTCAGTTACTGCAATCGGGCTTTTTGTAGCTTTTAAAAATGTACTTGTTTAAAAACCTACATCAATTTTGATTATCCACGAGTTGAGTAATGACAAATAAAAATAAAAAAAGGCATTAGGATCAAGAACTGTTTCAGCCTAGAAACGTTTTTTAAATTTTCATTTGACAAAATAATACATTGTATTGATCGTCATTTTAATTATAATCCTTTTTTGGGAGGCACTAGATTGACTCATTTTAGTTAATTTCATACCTTTGTTTTTATCTTTATACGCGAGAAGCTTATCAATACAAAACATATTCTTATAATGAAATACTGTACCTGATGAGGTAGATATCGGTAGAGCAAAACTGACACAACCACTAAAAATAAGAGTGATTAAAGCGATATTCATTTTTTTCTTGCACGCCACTCAGATCTGGATCAACGTGCACTTTTACATAAAAGTAACTTACGTATCATTATTTATACTCCAAAATATCATGTTTATTATCAATTGTTTGAATTATTACAAATAAGTCAATAGCTTAAGGTATTGTTTAGAGATACTCTCCATGCCCGTTTCGTTATAAAAAAATGTGAAGCTTTCCATGCAATCGATCACTTTGAGTGGATAGATTGATTCCATTTTATAAATTATATCTACTCTACATATCTAATGTACAACTATGATTGTTCTTGTCCAAGTGAGATAGGACATGAATATATTTTAGTAAGCAAGTTTTCCTTGCAAAATAATTCAGGATCCCATTCACCTATAGGATTTTTTTTATATCCAGAAGCCTGAATATGATTTTTGATCTGCCTAAGATTAGTGGAACTGGGCAAAGCCTCCTCTGGCAGATTGTTCCACAATCTTGTCAGCCTATGAACAAAGGAGCGGTCGTATCGGCCAGTTCTGGATGTACGAAGGATGGGAGAGTGAAGTCAGGCGAGTCAGACCGATGAGATTACTCCGCAGCTGCTTGACTAAGCTAGGAGGTCCCTCCTTGATCGCTGGTGTCGGAAACCATACAGTATGTCTCTCATCAAGATACTCCAGAAGCTCCAGATTTATGCGTCTCTCCATCACCTTAACTATGATAGAAAGTAGAGCTCACGGGCTCAAACTTTGTAGGTGATATGATCACCAATGAACTGGAACTTTTCCTATTAGGTACTTCTGTGACGTCCTCAGATACAAACCTAGAATGGAATAGCAATTACCCGATTCAGAAAGAGCAACCGCAAAACATACGACTTAGTCCTACTTGACCGACTGCGACCAAATGTGTGTCAAAGCTTATATCCCAAAAGGTCACGTTGATTTTGCATTCGGTCCATGACCATTTTTGATTTAACACTGTTCATTGAATGTATCTTCAATGACAAAGAAAATAGAGCACCCAGTAGAAATGATTTCATTTGAATATAAATATACAGTTAGACGTAGCTAAGAGTGAGTCGTGTTTAAATTTAGAACATTTGTTTTATCGTTGGAAAGCATCTACCTTCTATATACAGGGTGAGTTCTTAGTGTGGGCTCGGTAGATAGCTCCACTATTACACATAATATCTAAAAAAGTTCATCACACAAAACGTAGCCAACAGTATGCTCCTTACTTCGAAAATATTTTAAACCATACTCCATAATCCATAAATTTTTTAAACGGAAAGACCTATGTTTTATTGCAGATTCGGATAGGTCCGTCCCAACGGAGCAATTTGAAATGACATACTATAGGTTTGTATTTTTAAATTGTTGAGATATTGGTTAATCTATCTCGGAAAAATTGTATCCCCTATTTCCTCCCTTCCTACAATTTTTTCGTTAATCTATACAAAGTGGTCAACAATGAAAAATTTCTCAACATTTTCAAATGGAACACCTTGTATATTTCCATACTTTTTATTCCCCTCTTCACAAGCTCTTTTCTGATATAAGTTTTATGGGGGTTCGTATAACTGGTTTTTGGGTTACTAAGGCCCGTATCGTTAGTCGTCCCTACAATTGTAGGGCGCGTTTATGGCCTCCTTGATTGTCATCCTCCTTTCTCTGCTTCAAAAATTTCTAGATTACACTTGTCCCGTGTCAGCGTCAGCGCTCTCCTATTGTGAAGATATGTTTTCTTTTTAAATTGTAGGAAATTTCAGGCTGATAAAACATGATATAACTCACAAGCAAGCACAATTTGATACAAATAGATATTTGTGACATAAACTCAAAATAGAGTTCTGACACGGAGAAGCAGAAAACTATGACAATCAAGGAGACCATAAAGGCGCCCTACAATTGTAGGGACGACTGACGATACGGGCCTAAGAACACACGGACACCTCTTAGACTTTCCGACATTATTATTATTAATTTATAACGAAAATACACAAATTTTACAATCTGCCATTAATAACTGAATGCTATTTTTATTCTAAAAGGGATTGAAACATTGTTCATTTACCTTGAAGTTCGATTTCAGGCAGCAGCGGTGGCCGCAGTAGTAGACTCTTCGGTCTCCTGATCAGTCGCCGTGCGCTGTACGGGTTCGAGTCCCGTCGCAGGAGAAATTTTTCTCTTGGCTATGGATGTTGTGATTGTCCGTAGGTGGTAGACGGTCTCTGACTGTCGAACGTGGAGGTACCACCCGGCGGATCTCGTAGACGGAGCCAGAATGTGTGCATGTTGCATGCACACGTGTTCCC